TGCATGCTGGAGCTTGTCATGGATGGACATTTCAGTATTCAGTAAGAACAAAAGAAATGGAGGATGTGGAGATCTTCACAGTGACTCCTTATACTGCAACTAAAGCTTACGGAAATAAAAATTAACGATGCCCCTTTATTACATGATTATACTCTTTCGAGTTTTTCGTGCAAATTGCTTGGTTAGGGTGTTGTCCTATCAAATTTGTCATTAAGACGTTGAAAAATGCTTGTAATAGCCCTCAAAACGGTATAAACCCATGTTCAAATTCAATTGGTTTCTGTATACTGACATAAAACCTTGTCATGGCAAAGAACTTAACTGCTTCATAACTTGAGTTAAAATATGTGGTTGCAACCTTAACAGGTTTACTTGCAGATTGATGCTGCCATTGTTGTCAGCGTTTTTCCTTTTGAGGTAGATTCTCAGGTGTAATATAGGAAACAAATTGGTTGCTGCCGTTGTTAGCATTTTTTCTTTTGAGGTAGATTCTCAGGTGTAATGTTGGAAAGAAATTTGGTCACAGTTACTCCTATCTACTTGACGAGGAAATCTTAGTGATATATTCCTATCGAGTTTGATTTCACTTTCCTCAGGCTTAAGCCTTTCAGAATAAAGATTTGACAGTAATGGCTGAACACAACCGATATGGGTGTGCCCTTGTAATCAAAAGAAAAATTCTCCAAGGACCCAAAATATGAGATTAACAGGGGGACATGTGAGGTGTCCTCCTCCTATTGCATAATGAGCTGGCCATCATTAATGATGGCCATGTCATTATGCAATAGGAGGTGGACACCTCACATGTTCCCCAGTTGGTCCCATATTTTGGGTCCCTATAGCAAAACTCTAACCAAAAGGTCATTTGGGGAGAGGGGCACGTTGTTCAAATAGAAAAATTCAGTGATCTTTGTACCTTAACTTTTAATTGACTGGGAAAAGTAAAAGTGAGATGGAAAACGTCAGATACTTAATTTAGGTCGGCCCGGTTCATGTAAATTTGCAAAAAAAAAAAAAAAAAAAGGTTTGCATAGGAAACCAATCTTTTTTTTTTTTTTTTGTCAACGGTGCTAGTTAAAAAAAAGAGGCGTCCTAGAGTGAATCAATCAATTGCGACTATGATGTTGCTGTAAATTAGTACAACCATGATCGTAGTCTTGAAAATTTTGACGGATCATTCGGTCCCTCCGTTGAATAAGTGGCTCATGCTGAGGCAGTCCCCACCGACTCCTCATCAAAATTCAAACTGCCCGAACGCTGCCGCTTTCATTACTAACCATTATCAGCAAGATTTATTGACGCAAGAGACTCCCTCTCTAATGACGGCAGTTGCGGGAAAAAACCGCCCCAGGTTCTGTCCCTGTCGCTTGACTAGGTCTGGGAGTGCAGAGCAAGACTCTGTGTTATGACTTCAGGGAAAAGTAGCAGGAGGCCCGGAAGCGAAAAGCCAAAAGGTCTCCTCTGTGTGGAAATCTAGTTGTGAATAACCGTCACCACCACGAACCATGGAAACTCCGTGTGGGAAAATAACCCCCTTGCCTCCCAAAGCAGCACCGTTAATGCCTCCCAACGATGGAGAAAGAAGTTTTACAGATATGCACCTCTGTAGAAAATCGGGCACGCGTGTGACACCCCCACTTTAGTCCCACATCGACTAGCATGAAGAAATATTATTAATTTAAATAGAGAAAAACTCAAGGCCCGAGAACAACTAGTGTTAGCATTTTGACAGGAACTTTAGCCAACATTAAATTGCTCTCGGTGGGTCCCACGGCTTGCACGCGCCAACATGCCCGTAGAACCGGGGCGTGACAAATGGTATCAGAGCAATTATCAGCCGAAAGTGTGGAGCTAAGTGTCATACTGGGCTAAGTGTTACACCGTATGAATGCGGTGGGAGCCACCTCTAGTGTAAGGTGGGGGTGATTGTGACACCCACACTTTAGTCCGACATGGACTAGTGTGAAGAAATGTTAGTGGTTTAAATAGAAAAAAGCTTATGGCCCAAGAACAACTAGTGCTAACATTTTAACAGTTAACTTTAACCAACATCAAGTTGCTATCAACACAATTACCAACTTTAACACGTATGGTGCATACAGATCGTGTTGTGTTCCTCCTTTAGGGGCTGTTTGGTTGTATGTTTTTACCGTGTAAAAGGATGGAAAGTGTAAAAAAGTGGGTCCCAATGTCAGCTTTCATCACTTTCAATTGTTTGTTTGTAGTTGTGAAAATAGTGTAAAATGATTTCATATGCTGATGTGGCTTGTAAAGTGATTTCATAAAAAAAAGACATGATTTTAGGAGAAAGCTGACATTGAAATCAGTAAAAAATAATAAAAAATAATTACAACCAATATGATCATTTGAGTATGGACCATTTTTTACACTTTCCAAACAAACAATTAAAGTTACATTTACAAACCAAACAAGCAATTTATGATTCCAATGGAATAAAAAACAAACAAAAGAAAAATATAAAAGTAAAATTGATGAGGTGGACAACAACTTTCCAAGTTGTGTCATAAATACACAACTTTACCAACCACAACCAAACAGCCCCTTACTCCAGACTTGATTTTCTGTACAGACCCTGCCCATATAGGAAACCTTTGAACAGTAACAATAATGATAAGCATGTAATATATAGAAACGATTTAATTTGAACAAGTAGTGCTTATCCACTAAAACAATTCAATGATTGAAGGCAAAAAAATGACGAAAGATGAAGCGCAAGAACTCTTGCTCCACGCCCACGGCTCAGTGGAGCAGCGTCCATTCAGTGTCAAATCAAACAACCGCACACTATTCATGATTAATTGGCATCTTTAAAAAAGTGGATTAATTAACAAATAGTGGATAAGTTTCCTTTTATGCTTTCGTTAATCTTAATCCCAAACTAATTAATTAACAAATAGTGGATTAAGGAATAAAAAATATAGAAGAATACGTGATGATCCTGACATTTTTTTGTAAAAAAGAAGCAACTGATCCCATGCTCGTGGTGGGCAACTAATGCAGCTCCCACAAGCAAAGCATGTGTGTTGTAGTTGCTTTATTGAAAAGAGAGTAATGCAACGTTGGATTCGGCTTTGCTTTAATAAAAAAATTACCAGCAAAGATACAAACACTGTTTATGCTTAGTTATTGCTTGGAAAGTAAGTGACCCATCAGATCACTTGACACGAAAGAATACTGGTATAAAAAGGACAAATTTTTAAAACCATCCCCTTTTAAAATTTATTTATAAAAAACCATCCATTTCAACCTTAATTTCAAAAACCGACCCAGTTGGTTGAAACTGGGACGGTTTAAAAAAAAAATTTCAAACTTCACGGGAGTTGAACTCCCGTAAAGTTTTGTTATGAGAAAAAACTTCACGGGAGTTCAACTCCCGTGAAGTTTGAATTTTTTTTTTTAAAAACAGACCTAGTTTCATCCAACTAGGTCTGTTTTTGTAATTAAGGTTAAAAAGGGTTTTTTTTTGGGAATAAATTTCAAAACCGGATGGTTTTGAAAATTTGTCCGGTATAAAAATCATAACTTCCGGTGAAAAAGTAGGGGAAATTATCAAGGAAACAATGCCCATATCTGTCTTTGGGCCAGTACGTCTTATTTTGTAGGGTTAACTACTAATAGACCCCCTCGAAGTACCGTCGTTTTTAACTCACTACCCATGTTCATTGTCGAAGATAGACCCTGGGTTGGGCTTTGTTTTGACTTTGTTAGCCTCAAATAGACTCGATGATTTCACCCAATGCTAAGAGAGTAAAGACGTTTAACCGAGGGGGGTCCATCTACAACAATGAAACTTCAGGTGGTAGTAAGTTCTGTAACGCTCCGCCCCGGAATCCCGGAGTCGGTACGCTATTAGATCTGATGGACTAGCCTCACAAACCACCACATGTCTTTTCAGCACGTTTTGTCCTCACTCACGCGCTCCCTGGAAAACTTCCCAGGGGGTCACCCATCCTAGAATTTCTCCACGCCAAGCACGCTTAACTTTGGAGTTTCTAAGAGTTGGGTTCCCGAAAAGAAGATGCATCTTGGTAGTATGAGTATTCCAATCAAATCTATTAATACTAATCACATCACCCTCTCAAGGGTTAGGGTATTACAAGTTCCAAACAACAAAATACTACAGGGGGTCTATGTGCAATTAAACCCCATCGATCCGAGTATCCTCTTAAACTATCAGCAGGCTTCACCAATGGTTATAATATCAAAGTAATTAGCTAACCACACACATAAGCAAGATTAAGAAAAGTCATCAGCAAACTCCCTCTATATGCGTATATAAGAGGCCACCAAGGCCTTCAGGAGGTGGAAGCAAGGAAAAGGAGACCTGAACCATGCTGATACTCGAGCTGGGCATCTGGTTCATCCCTTTCACTCTTGTTGTTGCCCCATGGAGGAGGCTGGTGGTTCTAGTCTCCAACCTTCAGCAAATACTGGAGAGCATGGC